AAAGCATGAAAATTCCATCCAGCTATTAAGAGTTTACCAGGCAAGTCACCATACATGGTCACTGCCAGCAAAAGAACAAGGTCATGGCAATTCTCTTCAATCTAATGAGGTCTTCACAAGTTTCATTTTCTAGTCCTGCTCTGAGCATGCTTCAACTGTACTGACATTAGAGCTCCACCTACCACAGTAGCAACTCTGGGCTGTGTGACTTCAGAATACTCAAAATGAGATCAGTGAAAGCACTGAGTTTAGGTCACACAAAACATTCTCTTGATATGGAAGCTGGTAATTGCTCATTTGAGAGGGAAAAGAAAAAAAAACCTAAACAAAAAGGTAATAGTTCATAATGGTAGGTCAAAAGTTACCCCCTCATCAAGATTTGCAGCCTGGTTGTGTTAGATGGTCAGTGTTTACTGAATGAAAACATTAAAGAAGTTTACCAACAGTAGCTTTGTTTCTATTGAACCAAAACTTATTCAAAAACTTTACCTCATTTCATCCAAGCTTCAAACTGAGTAACTAATTGCTTTCAGATTATTTATATTTTGAAAGATGCAAACTTTTGATTGAAGAACGTGCCCCCTACTACTTCCGTTAATTCTAATTAATTAACTTAAAATTTTGGCTGAGAATTTTCATCAGTGCAGCACAACAAAAACATTACTATAAAGCCTTACCTTTTTATTCACAATTATGATTTTAGCAATAGTTTCATAAATACTGTAGTAGAAACAAGGGGAACGAGGAAGAGATGTTTTACAATTTGCAAGGCATTACAAAGACTGCCTAAAGCAACCCTCAGCACAAATTTACTTGACTGGTAAGTTTTATGAAGGAATATGCCTTATTTCTCCCTATTTTAAGACTTGCAATAATCTCTAAAGTTTAAAAATAATGTTTTGAACTTCATCAGGCTTAGTTAAGGAGCTTTATGTATAAGAGCTAAGTATACATACTAAGTCACATGTCCAGTTTAAGTTTCTTCCAAACTATAAAGTGAAGTTCACTACAAAGGTGTACACAACTGCACAAGGCAGGACCAAACCAGTTAGTTAACAACAACAGAACTAAATAACCTCTCATCACTGACGGTTTTGAAAACTTCCAAGGTTAGCAAACTCCCATTTTACCTCCTTATGCTAATAAGCGTGTTGACTGTGTTTCGAAAACTTACGTTTTTCCACTATAGGGTATAGAGCTTATTACTCAATAAATAAAATATATTTTTCACATTAATAGACATTATGTGGTCCATACACACATCTCTGATAAATTAGGCTCTAGATCTAATTGTTTAAAAACATATCTTTTAGGGAAGCAGACAAATATTCCTAGTTTTCATCATTCTAAGGTACAGACATCCATTACTGTAAGATTTCTGCCCTCAGCACGATTCTGGAATAAGGAGTAGAATTATTTTTTAAACGAGACTATCAGAAAGAAGACATTACATTATACAGCTCAGCTTTCCCTAAGGAAAAAGCCAGTACTTGGCTATAGATAAACAGCATTAGATAATTACGTAGCAGAGACCATATTCTTACTAAGTATCATTACATGAAACTTGATTTACCTTTCCTAAGATATTAACAGAGTGAATAATCACAAAATGTATACTTAACTCAAATTTGAGAATACCCTATACCATATTTTAAGTGGAATAGAGTCAAGACTGTGATGCTGGGAGGAAAATACAAACAAAGTCTTCAAGTCATTATGTTCTGGTTAATGTGTGCTAAACTATTTACCTCCAATAGCTATTCTTTAAGGTAGAATAAATTTGACTGTGATCCAAAAATGAATACACCAAGTTCTTTTCACTATACATCTGGTATAAAAGCTTCCTCCCACTGAAACACTGCATTCATGGTTCAAGCTGACTTTATGAACATTAATTAAGCAAATTCAAGCTCTCATTATGTAAGAGTGGGATGCTAAAGAACGTATCTGGAATCTTTGTTTTCCCTAATCAGTCTACACATGAAATCAGCATTTCCAAATAACTTCACTAACAACTAGATTTATTCCTGTAAGTGTTTTTCCTCGAAAGTCAGTATCATTATTCCACTAATCCTTCCAAGATAAGGCTGTAACCCTAACAGCCTAGAACTGAGGGTGAAAGCTATTACAAGCTCCCTGGTATCAGATGTGGTTAAGTTTATGAGTTTAAGAGCCTTTAGAAATCACCCTCTCCTTCAGCACAGAGGCCTGCTGAAATAAACTTTCTGGAAAGAATACATACCTCAAAAATATTCCTGTTGAAGAACACACCCCAAGTAGTGAAGACTGAAGATACCACACAACAAAATTACCCAAGAAAGGATTTAAAAAACAAATTAATTTCCTTTGTATAGACAAACCAGGAGGAATTATCAACATCTGGTTACAGTTGCGATAACACTGCTAATGGTAACACTCCTTTGATAATCTTCAAACTATTACCTAACACTTTCCCACTGAAAATAAACAGGAGACTTGCAATTATTGAATTTATTTGTTAATGTTGCTCTGGTAAGTTTGCCATTATAACTGAGAAACATACAAAACTTACATCATCGCATAAGCATTTGAAGTGACAAATTATCTGTTAGGAAATACAATTTCTGCTGGAGAGAACATGTATTTTTTCATTGGAAGTAGGCATTCGAGAACAGAACTCTGACTACCTTTTTTGCTTAATATAGAATCCACAGGCTAATGTCCCTTAAATGCTTATCCTGAGTTACTAGTTACTAGCTTCTAGAATTCTGCCTCTAAAACAGATGCAATAGTAAAGAACTGAGCCTAGAAGCCCCTTATTCCATAAACTGGCATTGCACTAACCATACTGGGCTTATTATACACAGCACTCTTTACATACAGCACAAGAGGAAACGGCTTTGCAAATAACTAGGTCTGCTACAGCACACTGCTGTAGATTCCTGATTTCAGATATATTTCTGCTTCACAGACTGAGATGTTTGACCTCCAAAGACCAAACGTGACAGGCATAAGCTCCGCCTGACAAACATGCATGGCAGTAGGAGACAGCCTGCTCTTTGTCTAACTTGTTCACAGAAGGTTACAGGGGCATAAGCCAATTCTGGAGAAACCCTTCCTTCCTTGAAAGGAAATAAGAGATCCAAAACTGAGCTGAATGTTCAATGACTTCATACTGCCAGTCGGGTTGAAATAAAAACAGTTTTCTTGAAGACCAGAAGAAAAGAAACTTACACACTTGGAAGCAGAGAAAGCCTGCAAACCTTTAGAAATTAAGAAGGAAGACAGATAAAAATTGGAACCACATCAGACAAGGATATTCCCCCTGTGGCCCATGACAGGCAGATCTGGTTTCACCTCCACTTGTAAAAGCAGGCTGAGGTCTTCCTTTTAATAAAGCCTTAAGTGGCAGTAGAATGAAGACTATAGCCATTACTTATAAGCTAAAAAGTAGAGATATATATATAAAAATATATACATATATATAATCCTTCAAATTATGCTTTCAAAAAGCTCTTAAAAAATATTTTTATATATACTACTTACAGAGTAAGAAATCAGTTTATCATTTTTTTATTTGAATTACACAAACCAGTATGTCTTATAGACAACCTTACTCTCCTAGGGCTTTGGGGCTGTTTTGTTTTACCAGTGTCTTGGCAAAGGGAGATAGAGTTAAATTTTGTAAGCCTCTCTACTTAAGATTCTAGAAACATTCTCTGCTTGTTTCACTTCCATATTGCACGCATATATTTGAATAAGCTGTAATGTTCTCTATCAACTATTTAGCTTTTGTATATTATTATTTCTGAAAAACAACAGAATATATTTAGAAGTTGTGCTGCTTTTTTGTTCTTGTTAGTGTTACATACACAAAGCAATGAAAGGGGGAGTTGAAATCTCTTTCTTCTTCTCCATCAACAGATCATTTAATAAATTCCACTGCAGCTACAGTTGTGCAACCTTATTAAACACAATGGAGTTATAGAGGCATAACCAGAAGCTTAATTTGGCTACTAGCATTTTTCTTACTCATGCTAGAAAATAAAAAGTAAAGCACTCAGCCTGATTTCAGGCTCATAGTTAGGAGAGAACTGCATCTTTCTACCTTCCTGAGTTACTTGTTATGGAAGCATGTGTTTTCCTAGTCACCAGTAATACATGAATGTAACAGAGCTCAAATTCTACTGACAAGATGCAGTGGCAAACAAACTTTCTGGCTGTATACCTCACTTTTCAACATCATGACAGTCCTGCACCTATCATGCAGGAGTGTAGAGTCCTGTTCTCCCACAAGTTCTGAATTCAGTGCACGTAAACAGTAACTATCTTGCACACAAAAAGCACATTCGATGTGCTCCATTTTGAATGACTGAGGCTGACTGAACATACACATACTGAAAATCCAACACTTCGAGAACTCTCAATTGTGCAACTCCTACACAAAAGAATATACTGCTTGCGCACACAGTTACAACCCACTTGCGCTCCTGCTGCCCAGGGGAAAGCTGAGCAGCACTGCCTTAGTCACCACTCCAACTGGCTACCACCTTGCCTGGGCAATCTTCACCTTTCCCTTACACAATAAGTATCTAATGACAACATGACAGGGAGAGACTAGCAGGACTTCAGGTTAAGAACTGAGAGGACTACAACTACATTCACTTTTCCAACAGGCTGTAGATTGAGAATGCCCAATCCAGATTTATACATGTATACATGAAGATATTACTGTATCTCTTCAAAGTTGTTTTTGAACAAGCAAGTATCTCTACTTTGACATCCGGAAAACTAGAACAAGAAGCTCCCTATGAGCTTCTTGTACAACTAGAAAAAGGTGAGATGCAAGCTGAACCTTGATGTACTTCTTGATATCCCACAGTGCAATCACAGGCTATGGTTCCATACTGAGAAACCAAGCAAATTTGAATACCATTTCCATTAGTATTTAAAAACATGATCATATCAGCTATTCAACTTTAGATATTCCATCAGTCTTAGCTCATGGTAAGATGACATACCCATCATGTCTACTTTTCTTAGCAGATAAATCATCTCCTGCTGCAGGTCTCCTCTTTTTCCTTGGAGGCATCACTTTACTAAAGCAGTCTGATGAACTGCAAGACCGGAGACTTCCTACAGAGGGAATTAAAAACACCAGTACAAGAAATGAAACTGTTGCAGACCAGTTAAACTGTGTCCACTAATAGGCATATTACAAAGGGAATGGAAGGGAGGAAGTTAGTGTATTCAAAAATTACAAAAGAAATGGTCTCCTTTCAATAGCAAAATCCATCTCACTTTTACATGGTGTTTTATGACCAAATCTCAGTTAAGGCCAAAAGCACTATACCAAAACGTACAGTAGTACCAGTGCTACTTCAGTCTAACAAAAGGCAAGAATTGAGACTATCCTGAGGAAGCATTTTAAGTCCTCAAAAAGGCATCCTTATTTTTAGCCATTTATTCAAATCAGAACTTGTAGATGTTGTTCATTACTTTTTGAAATACAGATGTGACTCAAAGCCTAGAGCACCTACCTCTAGAAAACAGAATCTTTTCCCCAAGGTTTTTTATGACACAGAGAGGAAAGGGGTAGGAAAGGTTTTGTTTGTTGTTTTTGTCTTTGTTTTCTTGGGGGGAAGGAGGGGGATGAAATGGGACAGGGGAAAAGACATTCAGCAACCACCGCAGGAAAAAATAAGTGGCTGTCTGTATGACTTGGGTCTGGATAATTTTCAAAAGAGTGAAGGTCACCAGCCAATTCAAGACACTGATGCCAATCAAGTAGCAGTCTTTCCCTCCTCTTCTCTCAGCTACATACTCCTATGTGACTCTTCAGTGTGGCAGTTGAGCTCACCAAACCTGTAGATAATTAACCCAAGCAAAAAAATAACAACCTTCTGTATATTAGCACAAGAAAGAGCAAAGGACCAGCCCTTTTGACCACAGCAAGTCGTTAAATTGCTTTTGCTGTCTCATGAAAACAGTAAGCTAACACTCCAGGCAAAATTTTGTCCTACTTTTGTATACTGTAGACCACATGGACACCTGAGAAAGGTGCGTGAAAGAGCAGCTCACAGAGCTATCATAGCTCTAAGTGTTACACAGAGAATTTTAAAAGGAAAGGAAGAAAGAGGTGAGGTATAAAAATCCAGACACAAAGCAATGCCAAAGAAAACTTGCAAGAAAATATGAAGAACTTCAGCATGCCTAAGCTGCCTTCTCTTAGCTTCAACAGCATTCAAGTTTAGCTATGCTTTATTAAGATGCCCACAAAATCTTTAAGTCACAGCACAAAAGCAAGCAATAAAACCTTGACTACTTTTTGACACCACAGAAGCAGACTGAAATTAGAGGCCCAATTCCCAACAAATACTAACAGCAATCTTTTGCTTACCTATTCTTCGTATCTTTGAAAGCCTCTCTCCTGTTATAGGAGAAACACATGTAAGGAACCTTACAGCCTCACAGGCTTTGCTACATGTACTTTATTTTAAACATGCACTGAAACTATTATACATATGAAACTAAGGATTTTTCTAGTATTAGCCAGGATGTTCAAACAAGTTTTTACATCAAGATGAACTAATCTGGTTTCAATTAATGAAGCTTTTGCACTTACTATGCCTTCTTTGGTCTTACCTTTGTATTAATTTCTATTAAGAATAAAATTAATCTCTCTAGTTCAAGAAATACTCTTTCCAATTAATTCTTCCTATGTATTCCTTTTCCATTTTATGCTGAAGCTCCCCCACCTCAGCATCCTCCAGGGAAGTATGGCAATATCTACACTGACTTCTAGGAAAAAAGTTTTAAGAGTATTGTAAAACCAAATTATTTAACCAGTTATCAAAAAACTTTCAAGCATTATACCCCATAAACTACTATCACATGAAAAAATCATAATGGCTGTGTCAGGAGAATATACTTCTGGAATACACTACAAAAGGAAATTAGCTATAACAATATTTATCTTCTCCTCCTCACCAACATTTGATACATTTGAAACATGTAAGCCAGAGACCATCAATAACTCACAATACGCCAGATGCATTTTACTACCCAGATTAAACAAAGGAACCTGACCTGCAAAATGTCATTTGTTCCACCTGATTATGCCTGCAAATTAATGATACTGCAAAATGGTATTCCCAGAAGTTATCAAAAGTGCAATGCTCTATGGCTTTTAGATCAATTTTCAATGACTGCCAGTATTTTTTAAAAACCTACACAAACTAAAAACGCTTAATATGACAGCAGAACAGATGGCTCAGAGACAGCCAGACTCAGACACACACTAAACTTAATAAATGAAAACGTGTGCTAATGAACACCTTGTTTGGAAAAATACATACGTACTTGAGTACAACCTGTAGCTATCTCCTTCCTTCGAGAGCAATTTCAATGGTTTTAAATGCCCTTCTTTAAAAAGAGAATCACAGGCATTGGATGCTGGTAAAATGCAAGAAAAACCACCAACCCATCCCAGGTTTGTCCAGTTTACTAGTTATTTGGTTGTGAAAAGAAATATGCAAGGCCTCCGTCAAAAGACAAGCACAGCGAAAGATGAAAATGAAATAAATAAAAGTCAAAATAAAACTGTTATAGAACATGAAAATTATTTTGGCAGATCTGCAACCCCATACAAACCAAAGAATTTAACCCAAAGATTCCTGCTTGTTTTCCTCATTAAATGACAGGACATTTTTAGGAAGATGGCTTAAGTGGTTTTAAAGGCTTATACTGATAACAGAATTCACTGTAACCCAATTTCTTCAATGACTCATACAAAAAAACTTGTACCCTTTCTTGGTTTGAATGAGTCTAGTTGCAGCTCTCAAACTGACAGAAAAAGGAAGAAAAGAGATAGCTCAGAAATTGGTAAGTGGCTATTAAATGCACATGGACATCCCCTCACACACAGACACACACACAGACACCAGGTGGACAAACATATTGTACATGCTTTTAGAGATTTAATATTTTAATAACTGAGGCTTGGACCAAGTCCACTAGGTTTTAACTGCTGAATGACCTCTAAAGTACTAAAAAAAAAAAAAAACAGTATAAGACTGTTACTTTGAAAGTATTTCCTTTTGTTACTAGAATCAGTACCCTGAATTTGAAGGGCAGTTATAATTTCCCTGCAACAAACTCTGAAAATATTGTTGGTTTGGTTTTCTTTTTAATCTTTCATTTCCATCTAAAGCTAAAAACTATTGGAGAGTTCAGGTCTTTTTGGTTGAATTCTTGCAATTTCTTATTTTACAGTATAGGTCACTAAGTACCATAGATATTAATCTTTCCTACACAGAGCTTTCTAATTCTACATGTAATTTCTCAATCTAGTCCTTCACTATTAATTCCACTTCTCAAAGGTCTGATCATCTGCAAACATTCATGCAGCTCCCTCTGACTTCATGCAAAGTTTGACATGAACTTTACTTACCGAGGGCCGCTTGATGTGATTATCTTCAAAGTTTCTTACTCCTGGGTCTCAACTCAAGATTAGCAGAACCCTTCTAGTTCTCACTGTGTTTTTGACACTTGAAGTGAGCATTTGCAAGATAGAGCCTCCAAATGGCTCCCAAATAGGTCAACATCAGCCAAAAGCCTGCCGAGTGTAAACACTGTTTGCCAAACATTCTACTCAGCACTTTCAAATTTGCAGAAGACAAAGCTACCCATGGAAAGATCAACTTAAGAGCCAAAATTCACCCCAAGAGATCTAAAACAATATGCAAGATAATCACCACAAGAGAGGGACACTCCCAGAATAGCAACAAAACCAGAGTAAATTAAGAAGAAAAAACAGGTCAATAGTAAGAATTCTACAAGGAGGTCCCTGCAGGAGTGATTTACAGACATATAACTTCCACCTTCTCCCTAGATAATGCCTGTGAAGAATCCTGCTCTTCTGAAGCTTAAGTAGAGGGATGTTTCAAACAAAAAATAATTAGAAACTGAATGCTGAAGCAATTGGAAGGGTAAAGCTGCTCATTTAATGATGCAACAAGACCACAGCAAGCACAAGTTAACAGTCAGTATTTTTCAGATACAAGATGAGAAAACTAGGATACTCATCAAAACATAAAACAAACTTGCAATCTTGTTGTAAAAGGAAAAATCACTTTATCTTGAATTCCACACTACAGAATTGCTTTTGACTGGAGAGGACCTTTTTCTCCAGAAGAACAGAAAAAATAGTAGAGGCAAAGGTAATTTTTTTTCCCCTACAAGCTTCAAGAACAGCAATGAAGGCATTACTTCTTTAAATAAGCCAGGTGACAACAGGAATTTTACTTTCACTTTTAAAGACATTTTAGTCTGGATAGGTCAGTCACAATTTAAGCTATTATAAGTTACTAGATTTGTAGTTATGACAAGAAAACCAACTTATTTCCAACTCTAGAGAGTTTTCCAAGTAAATGCATATACATACTAGGAAAAAGGTACTGATTACAGAATCTGAATGCCTGACTTTCTTACCCTTACAAACAGCTGAAAAGGGTAAGGCCCATGACATTCCAGCCTAGCTTATTTTTCAGACATATATACGGGCACTGAATGCGCTGAATAAAAGGTAAAAATCCCACATTTTCTGAGACTGCAATCAATACAGGTGACTGGAATTTCGAAGCGAGATCCATCTTTGCTCCCAAATCACTGAAGGAATTTTACAACTGCCACCCTCTAGCTCTTTGTTAAGATCTGGTTCTAGAAAAGAAATCTGTCAAATACTTATAAAAGATATAATTTGCTTAAAGTCATTTAGATGTCCAGTACATATAGTTAGCTCAGAAACAAGTGCTTTGAAATAAATGCAATATGCATTAAAAGTTCATTATAAAAAAATTGAAATACTTTGGGTTTTTTAAATAGCTTTTAGAAATCTCAACTAAATTTAGACATGCATTTATTAAGTCATCCTAAAAGTGGGGCCCACAGTGTAATACCATTAGCCAGAATAATTATGTCAGAAAACAAACAGTTATCTGGAAGGATAAGGCTTGCTCCAGATGATTCAGAGTGTAAAAAGAATTTCCAAAACTAAAAAAACCCAAACAAACATTTTGAGATGAGTTTGGCAACATGCAAAGAATCTGTTGCTACAGTTATTAACATGACTTTCAAATGAGCTCTGGACAGAGAAGCTCAAATTCACAGCATCTATGCAGTTCTATAAACTGCATAACAAAATTAATAGGTCACTATTAATAGGACACTTCTTACTATGCAGTCAGTAATACTGGAAAACAGAAGTTCCAAAAATTTAGGCACATCACAATCAAACAATTTACATAAGGATGTCCAATAAGATGTTTCAGAAGTGTCAAGTCTCACAAAAAATGGGCACAGGAGACTTCATTGTGCTATATTCACAATAGCCAAAATAGCTCCTTGCCTGTGTATTTGTCCTCATATGAGGAAAACCAATCACAGATTTTGACCAAATTCACCTGGGAGTTATGCAAACACTGGGGCTTCATCTTTCTCTACCAGGAGACATACAGTAGGACAGAAGCATAAGAAATACTGCAAAGTAATCTGATACTGGCAGCCTGCCAGTATCAACCTCTGCTTTTGGTCCTCATTTCATACTTGTTCCTCGTTTGAAAGGTTCTTTTATGACTATTGTAAAAATTTACTAGGATTTTGTGCTCACTCATTCAATGGGCATGTTTAAGGCTTTTGAAACAGCTTAATTCAAGGAACAGAATCAAAGCAATCAAAGCAACAAGTGTCAGTATAAAGCAGTTCATTAAGAGCAGTAACATGTTCAAAACTCTCCAGCAGAGGTAATCAGGGCTCTGAGGATAGTTTCTTCAACTGACCTTTATGAACAAAGTGCTAGGCAAGAAATAAGATAAATTCTAATTATCTTAAGCATACCTACTCTTATTGATTGGTGACACAAGGGGACTACGTCAGTGCTTCACAACAGCTTTTTCTAATCAAAAGTAAGCAAAGAATGTATTTTCAAACACGGAATCAGTATGTATCTGTGTTTAGTCTGAGCAACTGGATCACAAAGAGGAAAATTCCAAGTCTCAATCGGGAGATGGGAGAGGACATTAATTCTAACATGCAGACAACAAAATCTCTTTGATCTACCTTCCTGAACTTTTTCTGCAAAGGTTTTTTGTACACATGATCAGCTAATTTCAAGTATCAAATCACTAACCAAACTGAAGGAAATATTTGACAGAAGCCTTTCCTGGCTAGGGTAAGACAGTTCAACTATGAAACAAAGTCACCTGTCACTGTATGGAAGAGGGTACATAAGCCCCAAGTGAGCTCTATCTGATCCCAAACAATGTGGTCCTATGCATCAATTCTCATTGCTCCAGGCTAAGAGTGTGCTAGATTTATAAGTGTGTCCCAGAAATCTCGAGGAGAAGGTGACAGCTCTCTCTCCACTTTTTGAAGCGCTCAAGGTTAACATCAGCAAACATAGCCAGCACCTCAGGATAGATAAAAACTTTGAGACAGATGGTAGGACAGATATGGTCAGTTTTAAAGAACAATTCTGCTGAGTGATCAAGGCTTGAAGCCAGTAAGTTATTTTCCTTCCTCCTTAGGTTATCATGCCTGAAACACAGAAAGGAAGGAAGAAAAAGAAATCAAGGAAGATGCCAGCTCACAAATTACAAGTGAAAAGGAGGTAACAAAAGTTGCAAGATACCAAGCCACAAAGCACAAATGCTGATGAATCAAGAATGGCAGCAAGCTATTATGAAGCACCTGAGATGAAGGCCTTCAAAAACAATGACATTTTATGGAACAGAAAACAGATTTGGCCTAATAAATAGGCCTTAGACACCAACTGAAAATCTGCACAAGAAACAGGATTGTTTGGAGCACAGCATTTAAACTCGGTCACAGGCATCACAATAGCCACAAGAAGTCTTGCTTCTGCTCTGTTCTCAATGCCCTTTCAAGAGAGTCAAAGCACTGTAAGAATATGGATATTCTGCTAGTCTAATGGGTTGAGTCCAAGGAGTGAGAATTTTTTCCATCTTCTAAACTATTTACACTAAGAAATAGTAAAATGACATGCTGCTTAAGTCTGAGTGAGTCCTTCACAACTGGATAAATTAAAAGCAAAAACATCTGTTTTGAAGAAGATTTTAAAAAATTCTGGCACTTCTGTTCAAAAAACTCCTTTGGCTTTCTAAAAATATAATGTTCAACAATGTTAGAGACTTTTTTGATGAAGTGTGCTTAAATTGTTTCAATCTACTTCTTCTATATCCCTATTAAATACCTGTCTGATGATCGTCTTGACCGACGTCCTCTGTCAGATTCTGCAAGAGAGTGGGAATGACACAGTTTAACAAGATGGTGATTTTCATTGTTCAGCCATGTTTTTAATCTTTATTTGATATTATTCATCTTAATTACTTAAGGATCCTCTAGCTAAACTGCGGAGCCTTTGCGTTTCCAGTTCATATTAATCCAAGAAGTTACCCTTGCACATCTGTCTTAGAAGTTCAAGCACAATCTTAAATAAAAAAAAAATCTAAAAAACTCAAAAATATTTTTCAAATTATTTAATCAAAAACATACCAAACTATGTTTCAAAAGTGGAAATAACTATCCATAGGATGAGGAATTTTGCACTGTTGTATTGAACAGTTCCACTAATAAATGCAGTATAAAAAAGGTTGAGTTTACAACAGAAATGGTTTTAGAGAAACACACTTGTTCTAAAGAAAACTGATTAAAACCAAACTGAAAACTTTCCCATTAAATTTGCAGTATGCACACAAAAGCCATATCAGCATTTCCAGCTATGGCCACCATAAAACAAATGTAAATGCACAACCGACAAGCAGGGACAGTCTTAAGAAAAAAACAAACAAATCCTGTTTCACTCCTTGCATGGCTATAAGAGGACAGCTTGTCCATTCAGGAGGTTTTCCAAAAGAACTATGAGAAGCTGGATAATGATGATGATTACTATTATTTGACATATCTAGAAAAACTTCTTCGGCGGAGATATCATTTAAATTCAATGCTGCAGTGAACAGTGCTCAAACTCCACTCTGATCCCCAGCATATAATCCTTCATGTTTTTCTAGTACCTACTTATTTCTTAACAGATTCAAAACCTAGAGCCTCTCATGCAAAAATACAGTCATAACTCTTGAAAGTGTAATCACTTAATGATTTCAATCACAAAACATTCTGGACTAAAGCCTCAGCTATTCTGCAAAGACAAAATGGCAAGTCATTACCAGCCTATTGAGGGTGTGGTAAATCTTGTGAATATTTGCCAGTGTTGATAGGTGAGAATTCAGTTGAAAATCTGGAGGGGACAAAAAAAAAAAAAAAAAAAATAGGAAAAGTTTTAAATTCTCTCATTTCCAGCTGCAGCAACTGAGATCTTCATATGTTGTGGTCATTTAAGAGAAACATCACATAACTAGAAAGTAAAAGCCACCTCCACATTTTTTCAGCATCAACATTTTCAACACAAGTGGAATAAGTGAAACCTGCAAAAGACATCCTAGATATACATTTCTTCTTAAGGCACGGATCACCCTCAGCAAAACTGAACTATGGCCAACTCTATCCAAATATAAAATCATATTAAAAATAAATATTTACTATTTTTCCCTTTAAATTGGGAATCATTCTAATTTCCATCCTACTCAGTGCTTCCATCCCGTCTATTCCAAACCAATCTTAATGCCATATAACATTCTAAAATCCTTACTAAAAATGCTAGGGGTTTTTAAAAGCTGATTTTATTAATACACATGTACCTGCCTTTATACTAATTTACTTGCAAAACTAAGTTACTGGAATGTGCTTACATTGTTGAAATATGACTTTTGTATAACTAAGCAAAGATTGTAACACAGCAGCTGTTAGGATGAGAGCCAATAAAAACCTAAAATACAATATTCTAACACTTGAGGAAAGAAGCCATAGCATACATGTTAACTTTGCTCCCATGTTCCTAAAATAAAACACTTAAGTTTGCTGCAGTGACAAAAATGACAAACTAGTTTTTCTCTAGTCTTTTAAATCCCTTATTTTTTGCTAGACGTGTTGAGGACAAAAGTAGATAATAAGTAATATATGAACACATCACCGGTGATCCAGCCAGAGAGCATACAAACCAACAAGAAACTCAGAAGCTGCACACAGACCAGCTGACAGGGACCAAAGACAGCCAACTACTATACAGCATTAAACTAAATTAGCTACCCCACTAGAACTTGTGTGCAAGAACACTCTAATTAAATAGAGACTATTTACTATATGACAAGCAAAGTATTTCAAGCAAAATTATTCCATACATGAAAAGCTGTACGTGCAAAGTGTCACCAGCCAGTTAATGCATTAAAGCATTTCTACTGGGAAAAATTTAATTGGTTTTGCCCAGTAACTGATACAAGATGCAAGTAAGGTCACAAACATAATTCCCACATTTCCAGCCTTAGCATTTCAAACAAATGCTCTCAAAATACACTTCAGATGACCCAGAATCTAAGGATAAACACAAGTAACCATTAAATATCAGCTCCCCAAATCAGTGAACCAAACTGCTATGAAGTTAACAAGTGGATCTGAAGGAATTGCCTGCTGTTAAGAGCAGTTCTTCTACAAGTTGTTATGGAATTATCTTGTCACAGTGAAGAAAACAAAACTTCAAAAGATGCCTTTAGAAACCATAAATTTCGTTTACTATATTAGCTACAGAGTATCATTTCACTAATTGCTACCCATTTTTTAATGTATTGTCCCAAATTCACCAACATACCAATACAATTTCTCTTAAGTCAGAAGTACCATATAGATAAGCATATTCAACTTTAGATGTACTGATCTGTGTGAAGACAATCCAGGTCTTGATAGGAAGATCTGCATTAAGTGCTCAATAAAGTGCCACCTTTGCTAGCCAAACACTATTAAGTAGAACTATTGTGCAGAAAATCAAACCCGACTTTCTTAGTCAACCTTCAATTCAACATAAAGAAATTCAAAAAAATAAAAATAAAAGGCGGTGGGAACATAAAAACCATTCTGAGAAGGGCAAAGATTAAAAAGTAACATTTACAGATTTATGTTGGTAACTGCCAGACCAAACTAAGCTTTCTGGAAGATGAATTTTAAAATTCCCCTTGTTGCTCAGCCTAAAATCTACAAAGAACATGACTCTTTAGAGAAAACAATTATACCTGGAAGCAACAAGATGAAAATGTTGAGCAAATGCTTTATTCTAAACTAATATTAAATTGTAATTATAGATGGTACCCTTAAAAGCAATATATTTTGAAGTTAGGCTTATGTATATTATGTATCACCTTTGAAATAAAACATTTCCAGGCACTTCAAAACACACCATTCATACTAGTACACTTCACACATCCACTGGAAATATCCTTACAGTTTTAAGCTGTTACTTCAAAAATAGGTTACATAATTACAATGGACTTGGAGGGGTTACACAAATATATTTTACAGCTCTTGTACAAGTGTCACACCTTAGTTCCACAAAGACTGGTTTATCTGTATGAATATGGAGGATCAGAGTCCAAAGTTTTCTTTCTTCCACAAGGGAAGCTTGCAAACTAAGGGTATACCCAAAACCAAGAAACAGATTTCTTTTGCAGTACCTGTTATAAAAGCAAATGCAAGCAGCCAATGACTAGGGGAGTTCAACTACAGCTCAGGTCACCTCCTGAACTGGTCAGCATTTGCTGTATCTATATTGCAAGGAAGATACACCAAGTATCCTATGCCACTGAAAAGGTATATTTCTAAAACTTTTTTTTAAGAAACAGAATCTGAAAAAAAATACCTCCTATGCTTAAATAACACCTTCTTGAAAAACAGCAAAGGGACAATGGCACAGTCAACATGACAAGCAAGTGATTCAACATCATATGCTTCAGCAACATGCTCTCTCCCCTCCACCTTCCCAGCTTCTATGCTTGCTTCTGCAGCCTCCAAGTTTTGCCTGCCAACCCCCCTGGTCAGCCCACCACCTCAGGAATTTTATCCACAAAAAGTACAAACAAACCAACCCTGACAGCTCAGGGGTCTGAAGCAGATCGCTTCATGTAACTCCTCATAAGCGAAGTTCGAGTAAGAAACAAGAAAAGTCCTCCAAAGTGGGAGCAAAACAGTCTCTAATGGCAGCAGCAATGTGTTAAACCAACTACCCACTCAAGCCCCACTGTCCGAAGGATACATTACATAAAGCTACACACTCAACAGCTGGTTGTATGAGCTTTACATGACGAAAGCCATCACATGTGAAGCTATTTTTCACCTAAATACAAGAACTGGTGTGAAAATATTTTTGTTTGGGTTTTGTTTTCCTGAAAAAAAAAAAAAACTATCTTATAGCAAGGTACCACAGAGTTTATTGACCTGGGATGAAAAGAAAGAAAACAGCTTGCTTCATGAATACTGAAGAGATGTGCTGGAACATTTGCTATGATTTTAAGAGCTGTATGTCAAAAAAAGTATACATATTTTGTTGATTACTTTTTATGGATATGTTAGCTTATCTTTAGCAAGGATTGATGGAAAGGAAATTCCAAATGGTATTAATACTTTGCAATAACTCAGAATTTAATGGCTAAAAAAACAAACAAAAAACATAAACAAAAAAACAATAAACCCAAACAACAAAACAAGCCTTTGAGTAAATTAGTTGCAAATCCAGAATCTGGAAAGGAAAGAAATGCCACAGCCAGCCTAGTATCATGGAATTTAATCCCTGTCTGCATCTGGTCATCAACTCTTAAGCGTTAAAGTCTCGTTAGTCAATTAGTCACATTCATATGCAATTTAACAGTAAAGAGCAAACAGTTTAAAAATAACCTCTAAAACATTCTAGATTAACGTTTACATGCTACAGACCTGCCAGTTATGTAGAGGCAAAAGAAACAACAACTAGCTGTTGGGCTTGCTTCCATAGCAAACTACACAAAAATCTTTCTACACCCCCTCATTGAGACAAACATAGAAAATCCAATGAACAAAAAAAACCTGACTATATCTGAAATATAAGAAAATTATGCAGGTGAACTGAACTCAAATACTCTCCCACCTGAAATGAAAACTTTAAAGGTCAAGTCCATTTTTTTACTGGAGGGAATGATGTGCTGTCAAACTACTCAAATTAAGCCACAAATGAATACCTGAAAAAAAGAGTACTTCTGCCTGTGCACCTCCTCGCACATAGACATGTACGTGCCTGAATAAAAACTTCAACTTAGTTCCTGCTGTCAAAATTATCACTTTAAAGCTTGGACAAAACATGGCTCCAGGGTGCACAGCAATCTACTAAAGAACTAGTAAAAAATTAACAACAGCACTAAACCAGATCAGCAGCTGTAGTTAAGTTTCCTTTAAAAGTTTCTAGATTATTTTTCTGCACAAATATGAAAGTACACAAAAATCCCACAGTAACAGTAGGTCTAAAAATACTTCTAGACAGACATGCCATGTAAATGCTATAGATACAACTCTGTATTAACTACAGAAATAGTTGTAGTAGCAATTTTTATTAATGCTAAGATATATCTGACTTGGTACAAGTATCATGGGTAATCTCCTGCTACCTTCTCAGGAAAAAAAACACTTCGCAGACAATACATACTAGACAGACTCATCCCTGAAAATTAAAATGGAATGTTTATGGTTTTACTTTCATTTAATGGCTTTCCTTGGCTTCACACAATAGAACTGGAGAAAACTTGAAGTATTACTAGAAATAGCTCAAAGTACTGACTTATTAATTAGTTTTAAATAAACTTTACTTATCCATAAAAGAATCATTTAATCATCTACGAACTAAACCATTTCATGCTCTGTAGACTACTTACTGACTTATCCTAGGAGTAAGACAATTTATATTGATTAATGAACTTAGAATTTCAGATCTGAAACCTGCATTTGCTGAAAGCCTTCAATACTTAAGCAGAATTTCTATATTCAGTACTAAAGGCAGAAAACAAAAGAAAAACATGCATCAGTATTATTTTCATTTACACAAAAAACATCACAACACACCTAAAAAGTGAGATCCCCAAACTGCAGTACAGAGCAGCTAGGAGCTGACTCTGCATTCCTGTCAAAGACAGGATTAAGAATTCATTTCCAACGTGTCTGTGGCTGAATCTGCATAGGCAATGACATCCTTTCGCAGGGCAGCCTGCAGAAGAGATCTCTCTCAGTCCATCAGGCAAGAGCAAGCAGGCAGGCAAGGGGAGGCAGAGAAGAACAGGCTTGAAAAGCAGGGTCTCCCTTGATCTGATGGGGTTAAACATGACTCAGAAAATAAGGAAAACAGAAGTGAATTCCAGCCTGGACAATAAGGACATGCAATAAATGGGAGGCTACATCCTGGCTTCAGGAGCAACAGGACCTAACCATTAAAACTAAAGACATGGTGCTGCAGGACATTTCTCCTGCATACACATGCATTCAGAGCTGCACCAAGCTCAAAGCTACTGCTGACACCAGCAGTATTCAAACCCACAGCTTAAAATCAGTGTACACTTTCCAAACACAACAGCCTAAAATGTTCTGAAGCAAAACACAGAGTGATTCAAGCTACTGAAAAATAAAAACAAAACCCCCAAACCTAAATACCAAAATGCGGTTGAAATGATAAACACTAAAAAAACACTTATTGGTTTAGGTAAACATTCACATTCAACTCTCAGTACCACACGCAATCGGCCACTCACTTTACCTGAAACAAAGTGTTTTAAAATTACTTCATGCTACATAGATAGGAAAAACCATTAATATTTTTTTTTTCCCCATAGGAAAAAATCCTTCTTCTACCCAGGTATTCTTAAAGTACCCTAACCTGAAGGCTTGTTAAGAAAGAGGGCTACTGCAGTTTAAAGTCAATTGAGAATTTTAGAGCAAGTTAAGCAGTTAAAAAGTTGTGTAACTGTTATTTTAAATGCATTTCTGTGTACCTTAAATGGGCTCTGAACAAGTAAGAGCTATGCTAACCTATGGTACACTAAGCTATAGGATGAAAAACCCTGCACACTGGCTCATGGGGGGATTTTAAGGCTTGGGGATTTGGGGTGGGTTTTTTTTTTTTTGGAGGCGTGTTGGTTGAGTGTTTTGTTTTGCACCAGAAATACATTTAGTGTTAGGTCTTGTCTATAAAAAACATCTGCTTCTGTTGCTGCAAATACTGCTTGTGTACCTACTAAATGTATTGGGTAAGCATTCCTAATGAAGATTCTTGCCAGAAAGCTAGAGCAACCAGCCACAGTTGGAAAAGAAGGAGTGAAAGCAGTGAATAATCACAGCTAATTGAAATCTATTTCTAAAGCATGTATTACCAAATCAAACAGTATTTCAGTGATTCTGTGTTACTTGGACATTGAACATTTTTTCAGTCTACAATTCAAGAACATAAGAAGTTGAGCTATAAAACATTTAATACAGAACTAATTTTACACCAATTCGATGAAAAGTGTTTATCCAGTCTATCTTACTCTACCACCAAATTAATTCAAAAAAGAATCAGCAAGTTAGTTTTGCATTATTGGTTGCTATAGCCTGAGAGTCATTTGCCAGCACTACTCTTAACTTCATGCCAGATTAGGTGTCATGGGGCATCCTACAAAGGGCATAAAGCTAATAAAAACTTTGCATCTCATGCTCCAGCTAATTCAGCAGAAATGTAACCCTGTCAAGTACACACTAGTAGGGTGTCGAGCACCATGCCCATCTAGTATACTTCATGATGGATCTGCATCAGTCTAGGAACAGATATGCCAGTCAAAAGTATTACTGCCCCAGCTGTTTGCTTCTTTCTCTCTGCCAAAAGTTACTGACCCCACAGCCCTGCCAGCAGCACAGGTTGTGGGCATTCCCTAATCCACTTCAGGCAAAAAAAAAAAAAAAAAAAAAAAAAAAAAAAAAAAAAAAAATATCAACCCTGCCAGTTTAGACACTTTAAGTAAGCAGCCAAAGCTAACCTAGATACATTTGACTGAGTGAATTAGAGAGGGCACCTACAAACCATTTTACAGTAGGGAAAAGGAAGGAATAACCTATGGCTAATGGGCAGTAATGGGCAGCTGCAGCAAACAGTCCTAGAGTCTGCAGCCACACATCTGCATCAAGAGACACAGAAGCATGTGTCACATCAGCTGGTTCCCGTGGGCAAGCTAAAGCCTTGCAGCTCTAACAACAATATATATATATGTATATATATAAAGCCTTGTAGCTCTAACTATATATATATATATAAATAACTGATCAAACTGGTAACTATTTCCATCTCTTGTTGAGCCAAAAGGGGAAATTATGTTTAACCTCAGACCTATGATTTTAAATAAAACAAGTTAATTGCATGACATAAAAAAAAATGCTGGCACATTTAAAATAATGGTTCTGCTGGAATGGCACATTTAAAATAATGGTTCTGCTGGAAAGCCTTTCTAGTAGTCTTACTGTAGAAGAAATAACCACACTATTAAATGCTCTAATATTTAAATGGCATACCAGAATGGTACATTTTCATGGGATGTACCGCACTTCCTACTGCAATGGTTTTTGGCAAGCACAGGACAGGCAAATCAAGCAAGTTTTCCTCTGCTGCTTGAAGACACAAACAAAACTGGGAAATAATGCTTTGAAAAAGCCCAAAGTATGTTTTCAGTCTCTTCAAAGTATGGGGGAAAAGTAAAGAAAACATAGGATTAATAATTCACTTAGTTAGCATAAAAGCCACTCAGAGAAAAATAAATTTAAATCAAGTGTTGTGATTACACAAATGAAACCTCATCCTGATACAAAAAATGAAGAGAAGCACTAAAAGGAAGGCTGTTTACCTGTCTAATTCAGCTTATTGCACGGCCTGGTGTAGAGAAGACATTTCCAATTATAGAGTTGCAAAAAACTTTTAAGCAAATGTTTGCAATAGGAAAAAAGTTCGTGTTTCTGATGTAACATGAAAAGTGTAAATTCAGTCTCAGAAAGTAAAACTGACTGAGAAAAAACATGTTAATGCAGTTTATATCATTAGAACAGGTAAGAATCTAAGAAGGCTCAAAAGAAATGTTCAGTCAAGAGACGGTCATACCAGATTCTGCATGTGTTAAGAAATGCCACGAACACTTCCTGTTGCATTTAAATCAATGAGGAATAAAAACAACTACCATGAAGATACAGCTAATTAAGTTAGTTAATTGAGGAAAATATTCCTATTTAAAATAAACACATATACAAGGCCATGAACTGCCCCCCTTCTCCCTTCTGCCAAAAAAAGTTATTGAAGTGGAAGATCCAATCATTCCAAGGGACGTTTTTAAAGAAAAGCCAGTAACAGCTGAAGGCTGAGAAACAGCACTGTTGTTTTCTGCAGAGAAATTACATTATATACATATATATATATATATATATATATATATAAAAATAATCACCACATAGCCTTAACATCCTACACCAGGGAGCACTGGAATATTTGTAACTGTAGCTTACACGAAGACCTGCACCCTTTTTTTTTTTTTTTTGGACAGGGCACATGACAAAAGACACTGAACAGAAGGAATTTTCTAGAATAATTATTCTTTTCCATCATGAGGAAGTTATTTGTGCTGTAATAACAGCCTTAACCACCAACATACAATGAACCCTAAATACAAAGGTAAAATAAAGGAGAACCACTAAAGAAATTACATAACGTTGTGAGTTAAAGCCTTTACCAGGCTGCCCCATCCAATCTCTCATTTTGAAAAACACAGGAGGACTCAAGCAAATCCAGGCCTTATGCAGCATTTCTTTCCATAATTGCTTTCAGGACTTCGTCCAAAAGTCAGACCATCATTCATTAACGTACGATCAAAGCTTCAATTTTCATTATCTTTCCCATAAGCAAGTTCTGCAGTAATAAAGCGTGTCTCAGAGCTGCAACTCCTCGCACAGTGAGAACACGGCCCTGAGAGATTTCACAGGAATCGGGAACACCGCTGTACCCGGGAAGACAGCCTCATCTCTCCGGCGGGGGTGACGGCGCCGGTTCCCGAGCCCCGCGCAGGTGTGCAATCCCCCTACGCCAGGGGCCCTACCCACTGTCCCGCCTGCTCCGAAACCGGAGCCACGAAATACGCTACAGAGACAAAGCCCTCCCTACGCACCTCCAGAACAGGCGGCCTGACCCCCCCACTCCTGCCCCACCTTCCCCCTCCCCGCAGCTGAGGGCTTTGCCCCGGGCCGCGTCCTGCCCACGGCGGAAAGGAGGGGGGAGTAAGGACGAAGCAGCCCCTCCCGCTTCCAGCCCTCCGGGGGCTCTCGCCGACCGCCGGGTACCGGGCAGCAACTCTCCCTGCCGCGCTGGGCGGGGCAGAGTACCGCGCCGCCACGGTGCCTGCTGGAAGTTGTAGTTCCTCGCCCCACCGCCCACAGCCCTGCCGCGCGAGGCAGCCGCAGGAGAGACTCTACCTCCCACAATGCGCCGCGGCGCCCGTTCCCCTTCACAGCCCGCTTCTCCTGCACCGGCCCGCTGGAATCCGCTAAATAAACCACCACCCGCCTCCCCCCACATACAACACGGCTCCCACCTGGCGAAGCCGCCGGGCAACCCCGCGGCCCGCGCCCACCCTCCCCTTGGCAGCCTGGCTCCCTCGCAGGCAGCCACGAGGGCCGGCCGCGGCCTCACCCGCTCGCGAGCCGGGTCGGGGAAACTGCGTCACACCCTCCGAGCGCCCCCGGCCCCCGCCGGTCCTGCTGCCCTCGCCCGCGGCCGCTGCTGTACGGGCCGCCCCTGTCCAGCCCCAGCCCCTCCCGCCCCCAACCCCATCCCCCGGAGCAGCCCGCTGAGGGCCGCGGGGCACCTGCTATCCCCACGGGGAGCCGCTCCCAGGTGCGCGCACCGCCTCGCTCCCCGCCAGCTCCGCACCCGCAGGCCTGACGCCCTCCGCCGTCACCGGGAGCCCCAGCGGCGCGTTCGGCCGAGCCTCCTCGGTGAGGGGCAGGACAAACCGCCCCCACCCGGGCGGCAGCGCCCGCCGGCGGAAAAAAACAGGCCGGTGGCGCCGCCGGTGGGCGGGCGGGCGAGAGCGCGCGGCCCGGCCCCGCCGCTACTCACTGACAGCGGCGGCATCCGAGGTCATCCGGTGGGCAAGAAAGTAACGCTTCACCGGCCAGGGGCAGGGAGCTGTGCTGCGGCTTAGCAGCTGGTCCCCGCCGACCGCGACAGGGCGTGGGCACCGGCGACACCGCGTTCGCAAGAGCTCGGCCCGGGGACTCTCTGGCCTCAGTCTTGAAGGGGCGGTAGGCAGCCTCGGCCGCAGCACCTCAGGGCCGCCGCCTTGGGCTTCCGCTGTCCGGATCACGCCCAGGCCGCTGTGTGCCCGAAGGCTCGTAAGCCTTGGCTCTGCTATGCTCAGCTAAACAAGTGCTTGCACACGTACCTAACGTGTGCCCTGCGGCAGCTGGTGCCCTGTCGTCACGGCTGGCACTGAAGGAGAAAGGTCGCTGGGCTGCAACATCCTCCTTCTGCTCTGCAAACTCAACTTCAGTGTGGCCAAATCGCCAACCAGTTTGGAAAGATAACGTTTGTTTCTCCTGTCTCCCTCTACACCCAAGGAGAAGCATGGGCAGCCTGCCACAGCCACCTGACCGCAGGGGTTGTCGGGTCAATGTTACGGCAGCAGCAGGCTGGGTGGTGAGCGGGGAAACATGGGTTTTCAGCTGCACCTCACAGGTAGATGTGACTACCTCCCCACAGTTACTTCTAGACATCTAACACATGGAGCCACCCGGCTTTTCCCCCTTGCAGTACAGGGGAAAAGAGGCCCCATTCTGGAGCCGGAGGACACCTTGCAGGTCATTGCTGCTTAGCATGCGAGCTCAGCATCTTGCGCCCTGCAAAGAGACGTCTACAGCACTGCCAGTGCACAGCGAAGGATTATTACGACAGAAATTACCCATGAAAATAAACTTCCTCTAAGAGGTTAAGTTAAAAGAAAGTCAAAGACTCAGAATTGAAGAAGCACAAGATTTAAGGTGATGGTCCTTTTGGAGCAATGCATTAGCACACATTCCTGAATTAACAGATCTGAGCCTTTTTATGAGCCTTGCCTAATTGAGTGAAACACTCAGAATGTGCAAGTACAGCTGATTTATTTTGCAGAGCAGCATCTTATGTTTTCAACTGCCTGATTTCCAGAGAAGAGGGAGTCCATAAGAAAATGAATTGTCTTCAAAAGTCATGTACTAAGACCATGTCAGAGCAAAGAAAGACCGCATTATTTCAAATTCTTACTTGTTTGTTAACACCTTGACAGTATTTCTGTAGAACTTCCTGCCTCTATATATTTTCCTGCTTGCACCATCTTTTCTTTACCATAGCAACTGTATACTTTACCACCTTTAAATACATATATTTAAATATACATTATGATATATATACATGTATATATATCATAAAGCAGTACAAGCTAGGTTTCACTTCTCGGGTAGTTCTAACATCCCACATGCCAAACATTCACATCGGTGCGTGTCATCCCAAGCTCTTATACCCAATAGGGGCACCACTGAGTTGCAATTCATCTGATCTGTTCTAATTATGGATTGAGAGGAACAATTCCTTTAGGGGTGTCTGTTTGTTCACGTTGACCATAAAAAGCACATAGACTGCTGGATCTGAATAAAATGGAATCTGAAAAAATAAGCTTCTTCAATGCCTTACACAGCTGTGTACCGATACAGATCTAAAGAAAGGTGGCACAGAAAAACACTATCTGGTGGTATCTGAAATCAGAAAGGTTTGTACTTTCCCCCCCTCCCCCCATTTATATTAGTCTAAAATGAAAGATACTACCTTCGCCTTACAAACCTTTCCTTAGCCTTTAGCTTCTGTAACTCCTGCTGTAAGTGCAAAGCAAATAATACTGGAGGTTTGACAAACAGAAGTTCAAAATACTTTTGAATAGTTGAATGCACAAGCATAATCCCTGAGCCTTAAGAACCAGACCTGCAAAGAAGTCCATAGGGAAACACAAAAGAGACTTTGTTTTCTGCTTCTGTCTGCTAAACAAGGGAACGTATGCTTCAGCCAGAAAAGGCCTGCCCCATGAGAACAAGGCCCATTACAACATGCACCTTCATGCCAGCCTGAAGGAGGTATAAATATCTCCTGTATTACCACTAGTTGTAAACCATTATGCAAGTCTCCAGGCTGGCAGATGTTATGAAATCATGCCTGTATTTTCTTTCTGAAACTTGAGTTTACAGAACGCAGAAATACTTCATCTTATATAGAACAGATCAATCAGGTCATTGTGGATCAAGCACTGTCTCAAGGACAGAGACAGCTTAAGCAGTTCCAGCATTAGCCTCTTAATCCCAGCCTTCCTGGCATCCTTTCTTTTGTGCCAGTGCAAACACTTGTACAGCTAGATAGCAAGGTAGATCAAAGAGGAAGACTGTCTCCAACGCCCCCCCCCCAAAGCAAAAGAAAACCCAAGCCAAAACAAAAACCTCAACACTTGTTGCGGTTTTGTTTATTTGCTTGTTTTCTAGCCAGATGAATACCCTGATCTGGCTCACTACACACATGTGCAGATGCTCTCACCAACACACAGGTGAGGAATAATAAACCAAGAACTGGTGAGGGGCGGGAAATGGATCAGCCAGTTTGCACACTGATAGAGCAAACTTAAAATTTCAATCAAGGAGCAACTATTGTTGCTTGCCTTTTTATGGCTATGTTGCTTTTTTTTTGTAATTGATGACTAAAATGACAACCACATAAAAAACTACCATAGACTGAAAAATACTAACATGAGAAAGAGGAGCCATTTACTTACTTTTATCTTCTCCACTATCAGAAACATTGTGCAGAAGCACCTTGGAGAAAAAGGATCCCCTCTGTTTCCAAAGGGTATCAGACTCCAAATTGCTAAAGCCACTGCATGTCTCAAATACCTTCACTCATCTTGCTTTGCTTAGAAACAAGCTTGAAAGTTGATTTTAGGCACTAGAATCATAAGCCATTATATGATAAGCCAGAGGGAGAAGAGAACTGTAGTGAAAATAAAAACACTACCAAAGCATAATTTGCTGAACACTAACAAAGCTGATAAAGCAGCAACAAAGCATAATTTGCTGAACACTAACAAAGCTGATAAAGCAGCAACAAAGCACAGTACAGGGCATTGTAAGAAAAGAAACAAATTGTCTACCAGAAGCCCAACAATCGCAGTCATAAACCATTTGCAGATATGAGAAAGTAATGCTTCTGAAAGGATTTTTCACCCTCAAAGTTACAATGAAGCACCTAAACTTTGCCTTATTCTTGCAGTGCCAGCAGACCAGCGCTGATCAGGGATAAAAGGCGACCTCAGGTGGCAGAAAGCGGCAGCTGCAGATTCTATAAACTCCAAACCACTGCTCCTTCAGCAATTCAGCTCGTTTTAACTGCCCTGTCCCGTGGACTCATACTATGCTCCTCGTTTAAGTAGAAACATTTGTTCTGTTATACTTGCCCCAGACATATGATTTTGACCCCAAAGGTCCTTCTGTAACATCCTGCAAACAAATGTAATTTTACATACATAAGACTGTTAGCCCATATTTAAATCCTTAAACCAGATTTATAGGGGTTTCAGCTTCAGTCTGAAATTAAAAAAAAAAAAGTCTGCTTAATTCCTAATTGGGAAGCTATGTCAGGGAGCATTCAGAATTTCTGCCTGAACCATGGAGACGGATCAAGACAACCAGCACCTTTGGGGGCACAAAGCTTCTTCCCTGTCAGCAGAGGACTCTGGACATCTTCAGTACTCTGTTTCAGTGAGAGCATGGGAGCTAGTCACCTGCACACTGAAGCTGCACCCAGCTTGTTCCAGTAACATCAACTCCAGTCAAAACCCGAAGGGTATCCCCAACTTTAGTAATAAACTTGGTGCTCTTACATCCTGTTGGAAAATGGGAAATAACAATTTTAGGTCCTTCTCAGCCCCAGAGGTTTGAACTGCAGCTCCCAGGTTTCAGAGTGCTCTGTGACAACACCAGAGCCACAGCTCCTGAAGCCAAGCTTACGCTACACATAGAAATGCCTCACATGAGGTCCCAGAGTAGGAGCATATGTAAGAGGAGATTTGAGTCTCCGCCTCGCTGAAGAACCCAGTACCATTAGTCTCAGAAGTTCCTCTCTTACATGTTACCTAGCGTCCATCTTTCTTGTTCTCAGATACCCACTGGTAGGCTCCTGATGTACTGCTGTCTCTTCCTGTATATTCCTAGAAACTTTAACTGACCTGCACAGAACATCAGACAGGGCAGAATTAGGAATACAGCAGAATACATATTATTTAGAACTCAGATATTCTTAGTCTAGACCTTTTACTTGCCACAAAAATTCAAACCTTTAGAAAATAATGTCTATTTATTTTACATATTCATATTTTCATGAATGCATGAAGACATTCACAAACCTTTTCTTTCATAACATAGTGTCTTATGAAAGCTGACATGAAGAAAGTACAATTAGAAAAGAGCAAGATTAGTCACACACCCCTGCAGCAGGACCTGTTCTAGCACATTTCTTTCATAGTTTGAAACATAGTGATTGCAACTGAGAGATGTACTGCACATTTTTCTAAACCAGTCAGGTACAGAGGATTAAATCAGTGTGCAGATTCAAAAGAAAGTGTAGTAGTTTTATCTTCCCAGTTCTAACCACAGTAGTAAAAGCAGTATACAAACAGTTCATGGTCATAGCTTTTCTTAGTAATTCTAATAAAATAATGCAAATGTCAACAGATACTTGCTACTCCTTACACTTGCATAAATATTAGCTTGCCTGGTATTAGGCATTATAAAGAACAGATCCACCAATACTAAATTACACAAGATACTCAGAAGAGAACACCCCAACTTTAGATTTTGTCAGTGTCTACATGAACATTTATAATAGGCTGAACATTTCTAAATCCTGTGAAAATCTATCCAAGTATGCTCACAGGCTTTGGACATTACACACAGAGATGACATATAGTCTCACCTGTTATGCAAGTCACGCTTTGGTGTCTGACTTCTTGAAAAATATCCTGATTCCATTTTTTAATGGTTAAAAAAATTAAGCGATTTTCAATCTTTTTATGAGTATCATTTCCTGCATCTCACACAAATAAACTGCTCACATTACAAGCTATTTGCAGAGTCAGCCTGTGGAGAACGTTAAGTAATGTGGCAAGATGATGGTATATTTTGTATGGTTTATGGAAAGGCAAACCTGTGGCTGGCCACACATCAGGGCTAGCACAAGAGTATACTGCATAGAAGTGAGGCTACTGAAGAGCCTCTGTGCAATGCTGGTACCAGTGCCAGTGCTATCTGCTGTTGCAGGCTGGGAGGAAGCAGGATAGGAGCTACTGCTGTTTGCATAAGAGAACTGCTGAAAGCGCAAGAAAGTCAATCCCATCACACCAAAACTTAATTTATCCTGCTCTGCTGGAGATTCATGCAGAGAACAAGGTCAGAGGATTTCAAATCCTACCTAAAGTATATCTAAACTTAATTACACTTCCTTTGGCTTGTAAAGATAAACAGCACCTCTAGGTGAGAAGTAAATTAGTCCAACAATGGCTGGTTAATTCTAACAAAGTCAGGCTTTCCAATACCATTTAAGATGAAACTGTGTATTCCTCAAGTGCCTTTCAACTATTCTCTGCCCACAAAGATCAGTGAAGTGTTCAGCTCTCAGAAACACAGTTCTAAAAACAAGGAAGCAAAATGATGGGTGACCAGGATAAAGGGACAAGCTTGGTGATGGCAGCAGTTACCTGACTCCATAGAACAAGAAACCCTGGGTAAAGGCACATCTTGTATTTCCTTACATAGAGAAACAGTAAAATTAAGTATGCTCAAGCTGTTCTCAAAAGCACATGGTGAAGAATTAGAGGGAGAAAAAAAACCCACCCTCTTTCCTGCAACGTGTCCTATTCCTTTCAGTTACAGTATGTTTAGATATTACTGCAAAGACACACAGTACTAAATACCAGCATCACAAATGTGGCCTTCAAGTTGAGAGGGTCATTTACATAAATCATCTGACATGTTTCTCACAAGCATGAAACTTCCTTTGAACAACACTAAAGATCTTCTCTTTGCATAAGGGAAGCTTCGCACATATCCTGAAGGATATAAAAGACATTGCCAAGAGACTCCCAGAAAACACTTCTTAACAGTCATGCGTGTTACATAGTAGGTAACTCACTGCCTAGGTCATAAAAAAGCCTCACTTCTATATAATCCCACTAAAGCATAGTGCTAGCAAAGGACAATGCTGTTTTGTTTTATTTATTTGTACATATAAAAAAATACAATCATCAACTTTCTTCTCAGAAACCTTGTCACGTTGAGCATGCTTGCTTTTAGCTCTCCTGCAGTGTGTTCTCATGAGTGTCTCATAACAATAACTATTTGGAGGTACTTTACTCTTCCTTTTGTAAAAGCATTGCAGTGTCTAATGCCCTGTTAAAAAAAAAAAAAAAAAAAAAAAGGAAGTCTGGAAAACTCACCAGCTTTTCTCCAGTAGTATGAACATCAATGATTCGCATCTGTTCTAGTAAGACTAATTTAAGAATAAAATATGGAATAGCAGCAGATGTAAACACTGTTTCAGTAAGTAAAAAATGCACACACCTCAAACACATAGGAACTGCACATCTCCCAGTTAAAAACCACGCTAGTCCCACTCTTGTTTTGGCAAAAACTAAGGCCAAGCTTGTTACTGCAGTAACAACAGACTACAAAATGCAGCACATACTGACAGGTTACCTACACTACCACATTATTTTGCTTTGCCTCAGTCATCAAAAAAGCATGGAAGTCAGCTGAAATTCCTCGCTCATGGTTCTTCCAATGAGCTCCCAGGAAAGGGGTTACACCTGGACCGTAAAGAAAAGTGGATAGATACATTCAGCTCTGAAACAGCACAATATAGGATACCTTCATAAAAGTAGAAGTTATTGCCAAAGCAAGTTCTCACCATTGCTTTGCTGGATACAAAGCAGGTATCTGGCCCAGGTAGACACCAGTTTATCAAAATGCATGCGTCTTCCCTCTCTCACGGCAATGACAGCTCATTAAAGAGTCACCAACTATTACACAGACATTCACAGTATTATGCAGCATGGGAGTTGCTCATCCTTAACAACGTGGTCTTTTTGGCTGCCAATTCAGTTTCAAACAACAAACCTTTTTTGTTGGTCCTAGTGATGTATTACTTTCTCATTCTAATTTATCTGTTTAAAATATTTAGGAGTGCTCATATGAAAGTGATGAATATGTTCATAATTATGTCCATCTTTATAAGATCCAAACCTACAAAAAATATTCAACAAAGCAAAACCATTACAACATGATTTAACCCATGCAATTAAATCACACACTTCCTATAGTATAATTATTACTCCTCTGAATGTTCTACATAGCTTATCTCAGAAACAGGCCACAACCCTACTTACATATAAATCACAATCTACTTACACTATCTAACAAGAGGTCTTTGAGTATAATGGATACATTTAATTACACTGATTGGATTAATGCCATAGACACTCTATAATTGGAACTCCAGCTGACAAAGGTGTGGTGCATTTATCTAGTTAAACCTCATGCTCTTTGAAGTCAGTTTTTCTACTGAATTCAGTGGAGGTATAATTTAACTCCCCAGAGTATCCAAATTCCTAAAGGGTATAAATTTTCTGCTTATAGGCACACGTTAAAAATAAAGACAAGAAAAATATTCTGTGCTGAAATCAGCTGAGAAAAAATCTGAATGTGAACGCTAACTTCAGGCAAGTTTCATCATGTGGAAAAGACTGGGAAAACTCCTGGTTAGATGGGAAGCTAGTGATAAAAAGTAAGTAAGCTCAACTGTTAGGTGTATACAAGAAATATCCTGTATTAGGCATGTTAGAAGTAGTAAATACAGCATTGCTGGAAATTGTCTATCTGCAGCGACATCTATTTCAGACTTAATTCTTCCACTGACGTTCAGTGTAGAATACCTTTCTCTCTATTTCTGTTCCTTATGCAATGTCAGTGGAAAAGTGACACCATTCTAGAAATAAATAACTTTAAATATAAAAATCTAACCCTTTTTCCTTCTTGACATATGCAACATACTGCCTCCTTAATTTTCATAACTCCAGTTATACAGTATGTTTTAAAATGCTTATACAAAGAATATTTAATGTATATATTGTATTTTGTGTTCTAACTAACAATACATAAAGACCCCAATCCTCAAAACTGCTGAGAAACATGGATCTCTCATCATCTATAAAATGAGTCACCACTTCACTTGGCAAATATGCCTGTCAAACAGTCTCACAAATTAATCATCTGGGTGAAATAAGCATTACCTTCAATTTATGCTACAACACAGCAGGCTGATTTTCCCAAGGTATAAGCCAGGTCAGTAGAAAAAATGGAATTATATATCAGAAGTTCTTGCCTCCTAATCTTCTGCTTAGTTTGGTACTGATCAGTGCCTCCCACTATAAGTTACAAGATGTCACATATTAATTTATTATGAGATACACTG